CAACAATCTGGGTCCTCATTTTACCCACCTTGGAAGGATGGAAGGCTGAGTCAACCCTGAGCCGGTGAGATTTGAACAGCCAAACTGCAGAACTGCAGTCAGCTGAAGTAGCTTGCAGTGCTGCATTTAACCACTGCACCACCTCGGCTCTAGCACTAAAATAGTGATTTACAGTCCTTGCACTTAAGGCCATCGCAGCTTTCCCATACTCAAGTGATCAAAATTAGAGCACATGGCAAATGGGCTATATCTATGATGATTGTGGTGTCCTGAGATCATGTGATTGCCATTTGTGACCTCCCAGCTTCTGACAAACAACATCAATGGGGGAAGCTGGATTCATTTAGCAACCACATGATTTACGACTGCAGTGATTTATTTAACAATCATTGCAAAAAAAGTTTAAAGTTTGTAAAATTGCAACTTGCTTAATAACTGGCTTGCTTAGCTATGGAAATTCTGGGCCCTATTATGGTCATAAGTTGAGGTCTGCCTGTATTCCCACTGACATATTGTGACATCCAGCTAGGAGGTAGCGAGTATACGTAGGAGTCAGTATGTCCAACATGAAAAAGTGTGGGAGATGTATGACTGCGTGAACTTTCTGTAGCAGAAGATATGGAATCTCATTTCTACTGTTTGCAGAACATGAGAACTTGGGGCTGCTTGAAAAGATCTGCTGCTGGATTTCAAGTAGAGATATGAGAGTCTTAACAAAGGAGACAAAGTCTCCTACAGTATAAACTCCCTATATGTGACAGAATTCAGCATTATCCTGTGGTGTGGCTTTTGTTATGGTTCCGTTTAATTAGCTTTCACTTGGTCAAGGAGCCAAGAAGTTTCCTAAGGTTTTCTTTCAATCCCTAGAATCACTCTGTATCCAACATCTTACATTCTATATACCATCCTATGCCTATTCCTCAAGAATTATAGCTCTTTTGGTTTTTTCAAGACTATTTTATTTATTTTTATTATCAGATTTAGACACCTCCCATCTCACTATCCAAATTACTCTGGGCAGTTTGCAACTAATAAAGTGAAAACAGAGAAAAATAAAATAAGACAAAAGCTAAAAAGACAAGTTAAAACATTTTTTTGAAAGGCAGAGAGAGAGGGGCGGAGGGAGGGGGGAGAGAGAGAGAGAGAGAGAGAGGCTGAATAAGTGGGGGCCAACTACACCTCTGTGGGCAAGATATTCCATAGGGTAGGGCTAACAGCAGAGAAGGCTCTTTCACTAAACCCCGCCAGTCAAAATTATTTAATCAACAGGGTCTATAACGTACTCTCCCTGTCTATGACCAGGTGGGATGGGTTGATGTAATCGGGACAAGACTTTTTCTCAGATAACGTGCTCCCGTTCCATGAATAGCTTTAAAGGTGATAACCAACACCTTTGATTGGACCCAGAAGCAAACTGGCCCCCAATGTAGGGTGCACACAGCAGAGCAGTGGTGGGTTCCTACCGATTCAGCCAAACCAGTAGTGGTTTGGCGGTCTGGGTCGCTGGAACCAGCAGCAACCCAGGCCTGCCATGCCCCCAAACCGGTTTTCCAGTTTGGAGAGGGGCTACCATCCATCCGGATAGGCGCCGCCATCTTGTTTTTTGCTTCTGCGCAGAACAATTTTTTATTGCACTGTGCATGCACACACAGTGCACATCAAGCGCATGCATGGCATGCCCACGAGCAAACCAGCAGTAGTGACTGATGGAACCCATCCCTGCAGCAGAGGTATTACAGGAGCAACCCTAGAGATGCTCAAAATTGCTCATATGGTTGCATTCTGCACCAGCTGCAACTATTGAGAATCACAGGCCAGCCCCATGCAAAGCTTTCTTGTATCTTTGATCTTGTCTTTCTTTTATAATAGTTGGTGAGACCAGGCTCAGAGAGCCAAAGATTAGACCAAATTTTTTTTGGCCTCCTAATGCCCATTTTACTTTGAGTCTTATCCATCTAGATTTCTTCTAATCCTTTTCTTAAATTACTTTATTGCTTTGTGTAATAAGAAAAAGAAAAAAAAGAATGTTTTATCTTAAACCTATTTTGAAATTTTAACTGCAGCTCCTTTTTTGCATTTTGCTTCTCACACAGCTTCCCCATTCTCTGTATGTTGTTAATAATGAGTTTAGTGCTGGTAGTGAGGCAGGAAATCTAGAGAATAAGGACAAATTTCTAATCACATTTTCAAAATTAGGAGTATTTTTAAAAAATTATTTCTTCTTATCTTGATCAAGTTTCTTAATGCATTCTCAAATCATTTGATCTTGAAGGCAAAGTTCCATTTACAATTCTGTTTACAACTAATGTACCTGAATGCTGGAACATCTGAAAGATGCCTTTGTCTATTGTATTTGTATTTTTAAAACTAAAACAATATATAAATATGTGTTTTGTTGATGTTTCTGTTCTGGGTCAGAACAATTATAATCTCTGAGGGTGGAGGTCATTCTCTGAGCTTGTGAGTCGGTTTCCGAACATTTTGTTACCAGACTAGGTAACATCTTCAGTGGAATTTAGGGAATGTCATTGTTGGTATTCTTCTGCTTATAAGAGATTGATTTGGTCAGTAGGCCTTGTGATTGGAGGATCACATTAGGTGAGGGTCATTGGAAGGTGAAGTACTGGTTGGGAGGTGGGATGGAGCTTCTTGGATTGGATGAGATTCAGTGCTGTTGCTGGTTGCTTGTGCTGTTAATTTGAATTTTGAGGGGTTTGTAGGCTGGTTGTAGGTTGATGTGTCTGTTGATATAATTGTTTCTGGAGTGCCAGGCTTTGATAAACTTGTGTGCCTGGTGGCTCATAATTCTTGTATTGGTTCAATCAAATTGGTGCTGTTTGGTCTTCAATGTGGGTAGCAATTAGGGATCTGGGGTCGTGGTGATTGACTGCCAGCTGGTGTTCATGGATTCTGGTTTTCAATTGATGTTTGTCCCACGTAGAATTAGTTGCAATTATTACAGGTTATTTTGTAAATTACATTGTTTTCTTCATCCGTCTGTATTTTGTCTTTGTTTCTGGATAATTCCTGGCAGTGTGTGACAGTGAGTTTGTGAGATATTGTTATTCCTAGAGGTTGGATAATCCTGGCTGTCATTTCTGACACCTCTTTTGTGTATGATAGGGTTAGTTTTTGCATGGTGTGTTATGGTTTGGGTGCTGTGTATCAGAATATAAAGTTTTTCAGATAGCTGTTGCTAGCTGTCAAGCACCCTCACCTGATGTGACCCACACCTGACCCATCACAAGACTCTCACAACCTGACATTATCCTCCCATCACAAGACCTACTGACCACACCAAGCCCTTAAAACCTAATCTGGTAACGAAATGTTCGGAAACCAATCCGCAAACTCGGAAACAAACTCAACCTTCAAACTACAGATATCCCCCACGATTGCAATTATAATCTCTATTTTAGCTCCATACATAACTGCAATGACTATTCCTGAGATTTGTCCATATAGCTTTCCTAAACCTGCCCCGCAATTTCCATTGCATCTCTTTCCTAATCTTTATTTGGCCAATATTAATTTGTTTGCCTCCATCTATAACTTTGCATTAAGACTGTTATTGCTAACCTATCAGTCCATGTTCTAAAATAGTAATTTAGCTGCTGATCTCTTTTATAACAGGTATGAATATGGGTGCTAAAAAGAAAATATGTATTTTTAAACTTGTACATTTTCTTTCTAGTTAAAGAGCCATTGCTTTCAGTTTATTAAAACTTAGTGAATAAAAAAGTTCCAATTTCTTACAGTATATCTATCTTGACATACATGCATGTAGCAGTTTGAATATACATATAAATGGAGATAATATTATTCATACAATCAGGTCTAATAATTATTTTCCCTTCCCCTCCCTTCCCTGAGGACAATAGAGAAAGAAAAATGGGAGACAGCATACTAAAGATGAGTTCAAAATCCATTCAAAAATAAAAGAAGAGCAGAGTTTAGTTTTTACTGTTATGTAATCTTATTTCACCTAAAGCATTAGTAGATAAATCTTCGAACTCCCTCTGGGAAGTTGTGGCCTAATCAAATAAGAAGCTAAATCAAAATTTGATCTCAAGGGGGAAATAAGTGGTTTTTGACTTTCTTCTTTGAGACTTCACGGCATCCTTGTAAAAAGAGCTATGTGCTGTCACAGCTGGGTCTATAGATGGTTTATTATTACCCAGATCCTCAGCTTCCTTGCTGCAGAATATATATGTGTCGTTATTCCTGTGTCTTCTTCAATGTACTTCTAAGCCACAAGTCATGGGGTCCACTAGTCGGTATGAATCACTTTGCAGCTATAATTGATGTCTTTGTGTTATTTATCTGTTCAGCTGTCCTCCATGATTAATAGCACGCAGGCGTGTTTAGAGGGCTCCAAATACTGTATTATTATATGGCTGTCATATTTCACACAGATGGATCTTCCTGATGATGAGCCTGATCGATTAAGCAACCGAACATTGCAGTATAACCCAAGCCAAGACAAATGGACAGAGTGTGCACCGATGAAGTATTCGAAATACCGCTTCAGCACAGCTGTAGTCAACCATGAGATTTATGTCCTGGGTAAGAGCAAACAGATTTTTAAGAGATAGAGGGGCCACTTTTTATTTTTTCCTAGCAATTTGATTCTATGAAATGAAAGATTTCATTCCCCTACCACTCTTTTTCTTGTGAGTTAGAGAAAAGGAACAGGAGAAAATATATATTGCTTTGTCAATGAACTAAGGATGAGCAAACTTTATTTTTGTTAGTAAAGAAAACAGTATGAAATAACTGGCAAAGAACAATTAGCTCCATTTTATACACTTATTTTATTACACTTTTCCTTGGTTTATTTCCTGCATCACTGTGGAAACTCCATTCTTATTTACCAATCAGGATGCATAATTTGGTTCTGCTATTTTTTTATTTTAACAATGTAGCCAGTGCAGTCTCTGTTTTTTATTAGTATGCTGATTGGAAATTTCTGGGAATTGCAGAACTACCTGGAGGGTGAAGGTGCTGTGATGGAAATAGTCCCCAAGAGTACATTACAAATCTCTCTGCAGATTAAATTGTTATGACTAAATGGGATGTCAACATAGGTATGTTGTTCCGGGTCAATTTACACGCATAAAAATACTAGGTAAAATATTGATCTAAAGCTCAGCCACCACAGGAATCCAGTACAAAGTCTAAATATGGAAACATAGAAGAAATGTGCATTGCAATATCCCAGTGTGAATCTATGCCTATGATATTTATTTCCCAAATTGAACACAAGTGTATGTGTTAGTTGGTTTATATTATAACAACATGGCATGTTTTTTCATTTTTTTCTCCAGTCTCTATGGCAGGAAACTACTGCAGAAATGTATTCTTATCTTCAAATGTTGGCAGGATGGCCATAAGAAAATTAATTATCTTTATTAATGTGTGCAGAATCATTAAATTATCTCTCTGCTCTCTGTGGCATCTTAGTCTCAATGCTTCAGACTTTGCAATTCAGTATGATTACCCTAATGGTCTTATGAGAATGAAGCTGAGGCTACTCAAGTACATGAAAACATTATTAACTAGGACCTCCATTGTATATTTGCTCAGATTTTCTATTTTGATCATTGTCCCTTCTGAATCTTTGTGAAGCTAGCAAACACCTTCCCTCATACAAAAGTTTCCACAGTTTTTCCTCCTTAAAGATACAGAAGAAGGATTCAGAAATAATCTCTGCATATAAAAAAAGCAATGAAGGAGGATAAATAGGGGAAAGGGAAAATAATTGACAGCCCTGCTCAATGAATTATTATTTAATCCATTGACCAGTCATAAACTCAGAATAACAGAAAAGGCCTATGCCTGAGTTTTCAGTATTTTCAGGGCTGCCACAAAGAAGAGGGGTCAAATTATTCTCCAAAGCACCAGAGGGCAGGACAAGAAACAAAGGTTGGAAATTAATCAAAGGGAGAAGCAACCTGTAATTAAGGAGAAACTTCCTAACAGTGAGGACAATTAACCAGTGGAATAGCTTGCCTTCAGAAATTATAGAGGCTTCATCACAGGAGGTTTTTAAGAAAAGACTGGACAATCACTTATTGGAAATGGTATAGGGTCTCCTGCCAGAAGAGGTGGCTGGACTAGAAAACCCCCAAAGTCCCTTCCAACTCTATCCTAATTCTAATTCTAGGTATTTGAGGTATTATTTCTATTTGTTGGATTCCAGTAAGAAAAAGCTTTTTCTGTTTGGAAGATCCTGCTGTTGCAAACATTCAACTAAATATCAAGAGAGCTAGGAGACAGTTTATGACCCCAAAAGAGAAATGCGGGGAACTGGAAGAGAATCTGTTTTCAAAGCCCTTATTTTTCATGTTGATGAATGTAAATGTGTACAAAGTACATACAAGTGAAGTTAGATTTATTAAATGTGTACAGCCTAGGACCTAGGAGGTGATATTTCAGCTTATTTTTGGCAAGAGAAGAACAGTAGGCTTCCAGGCCAAGATAGAATTTCTATCTTGAAATTCTAACAACAATACCTGCAGAATAAAGCCTGCTCAACATAATCTAACATACAAGAGCAAGACCTCTGAAGAAAAAGGAAAATATATTTAATGAATAACTTCAATAGGCCCTGCACAGTTAAAAGCTATTTGGAAGAACTCCAACAGGGGTCTTATAGCATCATTTTGGTCCTCATTAAAGTAGCTTAACATTTTCAGGCTTTTAACAAAAGTGCCTTGTGAAAAAAAATGAGCCATTTATAGAATTGCAAAGAAGGAACCTCTTTTTTCCAAACTTACCCAGAAGTCCGAAAGAAGTCAAGTTGCTTTAAGGAAGACCATAGAGGTGTTGCAGGCCTTAGGACATATTGATAGGGGGGAAATGGTAGGTCAACTGAAAGCTGCATATCATGTAGTTTAGACTTTGTGCCATTACAAAGAAAAAGGATTGGAAGAAAACTGGAATTAGTTGTTTTTCCCTGTAATTGCCCACTCTTTTTTTTCTCTAAAAGTGATATCATAATTTGATGCCCTAGTTAAAATGTCTTGAGACGCCCTTGCTACTTAAATGATAAATAATCTTTTGAAGAACAGGAACATTTCCTGAGGATCTAAATTCTTTATTCTACTCATAGTATTTGACTGATCTTAGCTGTTTGTCCCCATATTTTCCCAGGAACATAACTATATTTGTTCAGAAGCCCAAGAAAGAGTGGTATTGTGTTCCTAATGACAGAGCCAATTGAATTCAGCTACTTTTGGAAGAAAACCAGATGGGGAAGGCACCATTTGAGGTCATGCATTTTAATCTCTTGCATTAAAAAGAAAAGGCAAAAATCCTTCACAGCTGAATCTCTGGAAATTCATTACCAACAATTGGCAAATTAGAAGAGGCTTTGCCAAGGGCACCAGCTCAAACTCTTCCAGAAGAATAGTACTCTGTAGAATATAAGACTTCAGCAAGGGAAATAGCCTGCCTAAGAAGGGTGTTCCTGCAACATTGTTTGTCTGTTATGTAATCCCTGATTTTTATAAATAAGAACATGCAGGCAGAATTAAAGGAGAAATCCTATTAGAAAAGATTTGGAATATCAAAGAATCTCTGTTTATCTTCCTCAGTCTGGAATTCCATCTCATTAAAAACTTGTTTTCTCCACATCTCTGGCTGAGAGCTTTTTACAAAGTTTTAAGCAGTTAAGTAAGGTTCAATTAAATTCTGAAAATCGCCTTCATAAAATACTTATTGAAAGGGTACCAAGGGAGTTCTCTGAAAAGAAACAGTAGAATAGGGAGGACAGAGGAAGAGAGTTGTTAAAGCCACATTACTTTAGCCTGAAGAGTTATTTTGAATTAATTATACATCTTCCAAATTAAACTGATTTCTAGATTTTTCAGGGTTCTTAAAGAATGAAGAGAAATCAGCTCAGTTCTGATGAGTCAGTAATATTATGAGAGTTAAATGTGAAAAAATAAAAACAGTACCTACAAATAGAAGATACATTCTCTTCCCTTCCCTGTATGCTCCAGATGTTCTAGAATTCCATTTCCTAGAATTCCTAATTACCACAACTTAGTTTAGAATTATTTAATTCTTTAAACATCTTTAAAAACTACTTGGGTCATATAAGGCAAATTAGGCATATAATTGTGATTACAATGTGATATATCACTTATTTTTCCTAGAGTTATTCCTCCATTATTTCTACTGACCTACAAACTTTCCAAATGAGTGGAGGTTTTAATGTAGGTATATTCTCCAACAAGTCATTTCCTAACATATATTTTGAGGAAACGGAATAATATGACACTTCTATTATTGAACATTGGAATTGCATTTTAAGACTCCTGGTATAAAATCCACTTCTCTCCAATCAAAGTTGCTTTCAGACAATATATTTTCTCAGATGATGTAGCAGTAGAGCAACTATGTGGCAGGCTGACTTAGAATCCCACATGTGCTTTGACAGAAAAAGATAGGTACCTCTCCATAATATTTTTACTTCACATGTCCAGTCCATTATTAGCAGGGAAATGAATGTGGATATGAGTGTGGATATTATTTGACTCTTTCAGACAACTGGTCTTTCCATCTCATAGTTTTTTCTCAACCCAGCAAAAATATTTAAGTACTTTCAGAGTATCATAGAATGTAAAATTTGAAAGATACTGCACAGATCTTCAAGTGAATCTGCCTGCTCAGTAAAATTATCCATTACAACTGTATTCCTAACATCTAGCCTCTCTTTAAAAACCTCCAATGAAGGAGACTCCATCATCTCCTGAGGCAATTTTTCTATGGTTGAATAACTCTTATTGTTAGAAAAGGTCTACCCAGCATTCTGCCAAAATCTAGTTTCATTATTATACTGTAATCTCTACAGTATTATCTTTGGTAACAAATCTTTACAATTCTGTTCTCTTCTACACAATAACCATTCAGATTTATTTTAATTTGTTTTCATATTTCTGTACTACCCAGATATTTGAAGACAGATATCACATCTCCTCACAATCTTCTTTTTTCTGGGCTAATCATACTAGCTTCTTCAGACATTCTTCCTAAAAAAACAAAACAAAATCAGCCTCTTATTAGCTTGGTTATTGTTTTCTGGACATCCTCCAATTTGTTAATATCCTTCCTATATTAAATGACCAGTACTGGATTTAATTTCCTACTATGTTTCCCCGACTATAAGACAGGGTCTTATTTTCTTTTGATTCCTGAAATAAGCACTTGGCCTTATTTTTGGGGAGGTCTTATTATTTTTGAGGTGCAGGAGGCTGCAAGCGTGGTCATCTCATGGCTGCTGCTGTCTTGCAATTTTTTCAGGGAGGACTTATTTTAGCACACGCGCCCCAAAGCCCAATTGGGCTT